GGTGAGGAGGAGGCGCCCGTCCCTCCGTGGAGGGCGGCGGGACGTGCCCCATCGCCCCACAGCCAGGCTGTGTCTGGCCCGGGGAGCCCCTTCCCCATGCTGCCGTTTGCCCCCAGCCCTGCGGCCGCTCCCTGAACTCCATCCTGGGCAAGAGCAACCTGAAGTTCGCCGGCATGCCCATCACCCTGACCATCTCCACCAGCAGCCTCAACCTCATGGCTTCTGACTGCAAGCAGGTGAGAGCGGGGAGGTGCCGGGGACCGGGCGACTGGCTTTAGACGAGCAGGAATCCTCGTGTCCCCCACCCCAGGCCGTGCTGGGGCAGGGGATGTCCCCAGGCTCCCTAAGGGACGGCTGGGTGAGCTTCTGAGCACCCACCTTCTCCCAGTCCCCGGGGGTGAAGAGGTCGGAGCAATACCCCGCGTGCTTTGCAGGATCTGTCCTGGAGACTGGGAGACCCAAGTCCCCTGGTTTTGACCCTGCTTTTGGTGGCCCTGTTGGTGTCCCAGCCCTTTTCTTGGTGGCCTGTGGCTCATAACCAGGGCTCTGGAGGCTTGTAAGCCCCTGTGCTGGGCCAGCCCCGGGAGGGAGGAGCGTGGCAGTGCAGCAGGCCGGAGGTGCCACCTCCAGCTGGGTGCCGAGAAGCTCCTGGCTGCGTCCAACAAACTCTCTGCCTTGCAGATCATCGCCAACCACCACATGCAGTCCATCTCCTTCGCTTCTGGGGGAGACCCGGTGAGTACGCGGGGTCCCCATCCACGCGCGCCCTGCCCCCTGCTAGGGATCGGTGCCTCTCCTGCCCTCTCCCCGAAGCCTCGGGCACCGTGCTCCCCGGCAGCCCCGTCTGAGCGCTGGCGTCTCGCCCACAGGACACAGCCGAGTACGTCGCCTACGTTGCCAAAGACCCCGTCAATCAGAGAGGTGAGGCTGCCGCCGCGGCTCCTAAACACCAGAGCCCCGTTTCCGTGGCTCCACAGCTCAGTGTGGCGGGGAGGGACTGGATCCCCCATAAGGAAGCTCTTGGGGTGCACAGGGCAGGCTCGAGGGGTGGAGAACTCAATGTTGGGGTTCCACGCTCCCATCCTGCCTTTCCCTTCCCAGCCTGCCATATCCTGGAGTGCCCCGAGGGCTTGGCGCAGGACGTGATCAGCACCATCGGGCAGGCCTTCGAGCTGCGGTTCAAGCAGTACCTGAAGAACCCCCCGAAGCTGGTGACGCCCCACGACAGGTAAGGGCAGGGCTGTGTGGGAAGGAGGAAGGTGGGAGGGTGTCCGAGATCGGTTTTGGAGCAGGGATGCAGCCCTGGCTGCTGTCAGGTGCTCATCTGTGCCATGCCGTGCCCTTCCAGGATGGCGGGGTTCGATGGCTCTGCCTGGGATGAGGAAGAGGAGGAACCGGCCCCTGATCACCAGTACTACAACGACTTCCCCGGCAAGGAGCCTCCCATCGGGGGCGTCGTGGACATGCGGCTGCGGGACGGGGCTGCTCAGACCCCCAATCACTTGGGGGCCACGCTGGTAAGGCCGCGGGCACGTCCTCACGGGGAGGCTCCACACTACGAGGGAGATGCAGGGACCCCGAGCGGGCCGTGGGCTCTTCACTCAGGGTTATTCCACCACGAGAGCCGCGGCACACGTCTCCCCGCCACCTCTAGCAGCCCAGGGGAGCGGGAAGGGATGGGAAGCGCAGCGGGGTTCACCACCCATCTCTCCCTGCAGCCCGTCGGCCAGGCATCCGGCGGCGAGTACGACCCCCGGAAGCAGCACGCTCCTGCCCAAGGTAACGTGACGGACGCGGCCGGTCCCCCTCTGCTTTCCTGGTCCCCAAGTGCTCCAGCAGCGGGCACTGGTGTTGGGGCTGGAACCCTGCTGACCGCGGTGCTTTTGGCAGCAGGGAGAGAGAAATACCCGGCTCCGGCGGGCGCAGCCGGCCGCACGGACCTGTTCGATGACCCGTCTTATGTCAACGTGCAGAACATGGACAAGACACGCCAAGCGTCGGCCGCTGGCACCCCCGCGACGGCCAATGGCAGCGCCCAGAGGGACCTTTTCGACATGAGTGAGTGGGACGGCGGCCGCAGCCGTGCCTGGGCTGGGGGGTCCGTCCTGGGAGGTCAGTCCTGGACCCCCCGCTCCTTTCTCCCCGCAGAACCCTTTGAAGACGCCCTGCGTGTCCCCTCGTCCGTGCCCGTGGGGCTTCCCCCTGCCCAGGTGGTGGCCTCCATGGAGGAGCAGCTGAGACGGGAGCCCTGGTACCACGGGAAGATGAACCGCAAGGAAGCCGAGAAGCTGCTGAAGGTGAACGGAGACTTTCTGGTGCGGGAGAGCACCACCACCCCGGGCCAGTACGTGCTGACCGGCTTGCAGGGCGGGCAGCCCAAGCATCTGCTGCTCGTCGATCCCGAGGGAGTGGTGAGTCCACGTAACGTGCCGGGGACAGAGCCTGGCACGGCTTGGGGGGGCTCTGGGGGATTACAAGAGCTGCCGGGGCGCTGGGCTTCCCCGCCGCCCCCCGGGAGATGCCTCTGGGCATCGGAGAGGGCCTGGCGGAGTGTGGGGGTGAGGGCTGCTCCCCCCGGCTGGGTGCCCAGCCCCTGGAGGCCGGTGGCTTTGTTTTTTTTTTTGGAGAGCCCCACCCCCCCCACCACCTACCACATGGACAATCCCCTACCCATCATCTCGGCCGGCAGCGAGATGTGCCTGCAGCAGCCAGTGGAGAGGAGACTCTAAGCGCCCGGGGGGGCCCCCGGTGCGCAGCCCCCCGGCCCCGCTCCCTGCCCCAGGGAGCCGTCGGACTCTCGGTCAGGTGCCCTGAGCGTGGACTAGGCCGGGGACGGGGTCTGTCCCCCTCCGCCACGAGGAGCTGGCGGGCACGGGGTGCGCGGGCAGCATGGCGTGAGCTGCCTGCAGGGCGGGGGGCTCTTCTTGCCAAAGCCCCTGCCTCCTCCCAGCTCCAGCCTTTGCACAGCAACTCAGCTCCTACCAAAACCCGGCCCCGCTGCCGTGCCGCGGCC